CAGAAATTTACAATGTAAAATATAATTTAATCTGAACTGATTCTTTGAAAATCCTTTTACTGACAGGAACACTGAGCAAACTCTATATCTGTCCTAAAGAACATTATCATTCTCACCTAGTATATATTTGTTATATAAACGCTTTATTCTTGTTTCTCTAAAATGGAATATTGTTTGTTTTATATTTTGTCGTTGATGACCTTGTGCCATACACAAAGTCAAATGTTTGTGGAGAAGTTTATTTTCACGCAGCCAACACAAATAATATCTTCTGACATATACATATTTTTCCTAATAACCTACATCTCTGCAACAAGACTACTGTTTTTTACCTATGACCTTAAAGACAGCCCATGGGTAAATAAATGTTATTTTCACTGTTTTAAAAAAGAACTAAGCATTACTTTTACAAAATCCAGTTAATTAACTCTTAAATTTACTTTAAAACAAATCTCTATAACAAATATTGGATTTTTTTTCAGCACACCCACATCATTACCGAATATGTTGAGATTGAATATGGGTTTAACATAGGTACCTCCAAAGAAACACAATACCTAAGGTTTAAAATTAATTTTTAAAAATGAAAAGTCTTTCTTGAAGCTTTTATTTTAATTTCAAGCTAATTGATTAAATTTAATATTTCCAATAAGCAAAATACTTTGCTGTATTTCAAAACTAATTTAAATTGACAAGAAGGATTTTTTTTTAAATCACTAACATTACTGATTTTAGTGCCATTTTAACCCATATTTTTCTGAAATTTCACTTGAGAAATATTTAACTGATTTAATTAATCTTATTTGAAACAAATATTACTTACTTTTAGTTTAAAATATCACAGAAATGCATTTTTTAACATGGAGATGTTTATTTAAGGTATTGACAGGTTGACCAGCAGCTGGAAGTTTACATAATTGTTTTTCTATAGGGGAAATATCTGTAAAAATTAATTGAGGAATATAAGATGAGTGCCTTTTTTATATAATTTTTAACTATCCAATTTAAAAATTTATGAAAATATTCTCAGTAATCTAATGTTTTACTGAATTTTAAGTGCTTTGACATTAAATTTACTATAATTATCACTCTTATTTTCTGATAATGTCATGTATGGACATCCATATTTACGAAAATTGGCATGTTTATGCACACACAAAAATATTTTTAACATATTGAATTGTAGTAAGCTTTTCCATTTATAATTAGTTAATATAGTTTATAGTTATTAACCTAACTGGTACAAATTAATAAGTAATTTGAAAAGATTTAAAAATTTACAAATTATTCAATTTAAAATTTTTTAAAAATGAAAACAATTCTTGTAAAAATTCAATATTCATTGAAAAAAATTTTTTCTTAACCAAAATTGATATTTCATTCCAATCATCTATTAAATAGGAATCTCCTATTCATAAGACCTCTTTCCATTACCAGAATGCTGATTGGAGCTCACTCTGTGATTTTCTTTGTAACTTCCCCTGAACTGACATCTTTAACCTTCAAACTGAGAATTGTGCCACTGAGTTTTCCTCTTGGATCAAAGTCAGTAGGGATGCTTTCATTTCTTCTCGGAAATACTATGTGAAGCTTCAATCTTCTCTATGGTTCACACCAGCATGCTTTGCAACTATAGCCCACAGAAAGCACTATATTCGGCTATACCAGCACAACAGATCCTGTCACAACAAATACCTATTTGTTGCTGCTCATAATAAATGCGAATGAGTCCTCAAAGGAGCTAAGTGTTGCAAGTTGACAGCAGTGAATGATCTCAGCTTGGCTTTTTCTCTTGACCAGCGATCGCCAATCATTTCAGTTCGGCAATGAAAACTCCAACACAGAGAATGTTAACTATTTTTATTAATGTTGACATGTACTGACCATCCAGTGGGTGGCTATTTCAGACACAAAAGAGAACATGTCTACATTGCTTGACAGGTAAGAAACAATTCACAGAAAAACCTTTCTATCATTCCCACATTAGCTCAGCCAATCAAAATCGACTTCCTTATTATGTCTTATATATGACCTCAAAAGTCAGCCTCTGGAAGTTGGAGGTGAGATACACCTCCTCTAAAAATAATAGTCTGCTAAACTATTATTTAACACTAAGTCCCTGTTTTCTGAGAGAATGAGGCACCATATTGCATCTAAAATCTTTGGCTCTCATGATTGCTGGTGGGCTCTGTAATAGTGTACTAAATAAGTGTAAGTTCTCTATACCCCCTCTCTTCAATCAATTTCAGGTGTTAACATCTTCTGATAATGCCCGTAAATTCACCTTAAACTCTACCCTTGACTCACCTGGAGTATCCCTGCCTAACTTCCCACCTAGAATTGAGTCTCTGTTGAATGATATGCATATAACCTCTACTATAGTTTCTGCTATTATCTCTAACCTGAACCCCACAATGCATGTGAACCTGATGGCATCCCTGTAATAGTCATTAAGTGTGCTCCCAAAGTGGCTCTTGTTCTTTCTAAACTATTAAGTGTCTTGCCACCTCTTGATTTCCTGCCTGCTGGAAAATTCTCATCTGTTGTCCTAGTTTTTGAGAACTCTGATGAACTGTCCAGCCCTTCCAACTATCAGCCTATTAGCATTCTACCTCTTTTTGGGAAACTTCTAGATGCTCTAATCAATGTTAAATTGGTTAATCATCTTACATCACAGGGCCTTTTTTCAGACAAACAATATGGCTTTCCTTTCTCCAGGTCAAGCGCTAGGTAAGAATGGTGAAGCCCAGTTGTAGCTTTAGATATCTCAAAAGCTTTCAACAGGGTTTAGCACACAGGTCTTCTCCAAAAGCTGAAAATTTACAGTGTCTCTGGGCAAATTTTTGAACTGATCCAATTTTTCTTATTAAATTGTGAAATGAAAGTAATGCTGAACAGCCATTCTTCTAGTTCCTTTTGTATTAATGTAGGTATCATCCAGGGCTCCATCCTTGATCTTATTTTGTTCTTAATTTTCATTAATGACCCTTCCAATGGCATCAGCTCTCAACTTAATGTCTGCACTGATGACACAACCATTTACTCCTGTCTCAATAGTAAGTCTGATCATTTTGATAAGGTCAAAATGACCTTCAGTCTGTTGTTAACTGGGGCAAAGGATGGCTTGTTAACTTTAATTCCTCCAAAACTAAACTAAGCTTTTTATTAATCATCTGAGAGACCCCTCTCTAACTCCCATCAGCATGGCTGATGCTGACTTCCAGGAGAGTGACTCATTGCACTTTCTCAGGCTAATATTCTCCGCTGGCATAAGAGGGAAAAACTATATTGAATCCATTTCTAGATCAGCTGCTAAGGAAGTTTGTTCACTATGTTGTACTAGACAATTTTTCTCTCCAGAATCTATTTTACATATCTATAAGTCTACCATTTGCCCAATGCTTAAAATATTGCTGACATATTTGATCCAGTGCTCCTCCTATTTAACTAGATCTCCTTGGTAAAATCCAAAGATGAATCAGCAAAATTATGGGCCCTGTTCTAGCATTTCCCACTACTGTAAGGTTGCCTCCCTGTGCCTTTTCTATAAATACTTTCATGGTAATTGTTTGGATGAGCTCTTCGCTGTGGTGCCTAGACTCTTCTAATTTAAGCACAGTACTCGACTGGTGACAAGGAATCATCAATTTACACTTGAGTTGGCTAAATGTAACCATAAATTCTATGCTAACAGTTTCTTTTCTTACACTTCTCACTTGTGGAACTCCCTTCCGGCTCCATGCTTTTCAATCAACTTTAATCTGCACAAAAATTTAAATGCAATGTCAATAGCTATCTATTGTCCTCCTCATTACTCATCTTTTGTTCTTCCTCTTTAGCAATGTTTCTGTTTCTAACTCTTCTACATCCAATAACCCATTGTGTCTCAGTGTCATTACTGCCTTGCTTGGGGAGAAATCAATAAAAACAAAAACAGTGTGCATAATATATTTTATTCATAAAAGCAATTAAAAGCTTTTCTAATTAAATAATATCTTAATTTGATTGCATTTTTTATTTTCTGATTCAGAGTAGATTTTCTGTAACTGGGAGTTCTGTTTTACAAGAAAAAAAACTGTGATTTAATTTCTCCAAGGAGCTCTGTGTATAACTAATATAAACATTTAAGCAGCACAAAATGAATTTCTCAATTTTTTATAAAATCAAAGATAACAGATGTAAAAAAAAATGTTTTTACAAAGATTTTGTAAAAATGAAAAATTTATAAAATAATTTCATTTATTTGTGATTAAGTCTTGAAAATTTAATTAAAATCCTAATTTTTTTTAATTTTTATAAGAATTTTCAAAACAATATTTTTCATCACAAAAAAGACTAAAATTTTCTATACTAATTTTTGGTCTCCACACTGACACAAGAAAAACAAGATTTTTAACCAAAATTTCAAATGTTTTAAAAAGATCAAAAAATTTAATTTAATAACCAAAAATCCTTTGATCATTTCTCTTAATAATAATATAAACATTTTTACAATAAAATTTTGTTTTTATTAAGTCTGGTGCAGTTTTTCATCATGATATGCTCATTTTTTTTAGCAAATCTAAGGAGATACGTCTAGGGCAATACCATGGAAAAATTGTGAAAAAGGGAAAGAGAGCTGTGTCTTTTCTTTTATAGTCCTGGAAACACCACCTTGTGGGTGTCAGGTAGATGTAATTCCCACAACAGCATCAGCCACTCACAAAAATGATGAATAAACAGATAAATTAGATGACTGAAAGAACCAAATACTTTATTTGACAAAAAGTGAGCAGTAAAATGGCAATAGAGTTCAATGTGAAGGAGTACTAAAAAGTTAAAAGGGGACTTAGATATACTTGATTGCAGTGCCATGAATTCTTCATGTGACGTCATACACATTTCAGCACAGACCATAGTATGGGTAGCTATTCATTCTTCAGAAAGCTATCAGGTTGGAACAAAACTGTCCAATTTTTGAGGTGAAAATATTGAACAAAATTTATTAAAGTATTGCCCCTTTATATTGGCCACTCAAAGAAAAGAAAATTGTCCCAAGTAGGGACAAGGCTCATGTTGACACCACATTTCAGAATATGAGAGAGAGAGAGAGAGAGAGAGAGAGAGAGAGTTCTTTTAGAGTCCTGAAACAGTGCCACCTAGTGGTCATCTTAGCAGACAAAGTTTGGGTAATTGCCACACTAGATATGATTTTATGAGATTTTATGACCTATTTCCAATTTTTTAAAGTGTGATCAACTATAACCAATAAAGGAATCCAAATATGCCATTTACCTTTTGATGAGCTTTCTGGTGTTATGACAGGACAGAAAACAAGTCATCAATAATAGCAAGAAACAATACTTGCTGCGATGGCTTTAGAGTGGAAGGTGCAGTGTCTTACATCTCATGAAAGGCTAATGTGGCAGGAACCCATTAGGTTTGTTGATTTGTTGTTTGGTAATTTTGTTTAGTGACATATCAACACCTCTGTGGATTATTTACTGCTGAAATGTAAATATTTTGAATTCAATTTTATGGCTTCAACTGAAGATATTTTGTACTTTTCAAGTAAAAGTATGTTTTTCTAGATATATAGTTTGCAGATCATAAAATGTATTGTTGGTAATTTTACTATAAAAATATAATTTTCTATTTTTTTTTTGTTTTGCTATAAAAATGTATTGTTGCTTATTTTATTATAAAAATGTACAAATATTTGTTTGTAAGTTCACTATTTTCCCATAACTGGGACCCTAACAGGTGCTACCACTCTAGACCTATTAGGGATACCCAAAGAAAAACACAGACAAGTTAAAGGCATCTAGTGTGCATGAAGGGCTGTCTGAAATCTTAGATGCATACATCCTGCACCAACCTATCTTTATTAACAAAGGAACCTCTAGTTCTGAGAGTCAATGATGCTACCACATCACAGGAGGTGGTACAAATGACATCACTCTGTATGGCACATTAAAGAGCCAGCACATTTCTGTGCACACACAGACCTTAAATACACATAATATCCAATAAACTACAGCCTTATCAGATTTTAAAAATATAGTGAGATGCTGATTCAACCAAACAAGAATTTATAGTGATATCCTCCAAAATGTGGAGCCTGTGGTGTAACTATTATTTTCTTTTTCAATCTTTTCTGAATTTTGATTTCTCAAAATTGTGCTTTTTCATTTTTTTCTCATTTTCAAAAGTGTAATCTTTTATCATTGTACATTTGAATTGTTATCCTGCCTTCATTTTTGTATAAGGTGCACAAAAGGAAATTTTTGTGCAAGCTCTTGTATGTAAATTTTGTGTTTGTTTTTTGTGTACTGTAATAAATGTTTGTCCTTTTAAGTTTCATGTAGTGGTTGAGTCATATTGTTTGTGTCTTATTCAACTTTAGGGCATGTGTCCTCTTTTACTATTACTTTTTTCCAAATTTAAATTTTTATACCATTTTTGTAAAATGGACCCTAAAGTCCTTAACTTTTGAACATTTGGAAAGATGTGTTAAGTTGGTAGATCAAATAAACTAGGCATTATGTCAATATTATTAATAAAAGGTTTATTTAAATACAATAATATTACATGTAACATGTGTAATAATAAAATTATTTACATATAATAATGCTGAATTAGGAAGTTTAGTTGTAAGCTGAGTGCTGTAATTTTGCATTCATGAACATCTTGACAGGTGGCTCATAGTGAAGATTCCCATCATTTTAATAGTGTGTAACTATGCACTACAAATCAATATATTGGTATGTTTAGGTGAACCCATAGTGAAAGAAAAATAACAGATTAATCTTCAATGAAGTATTTGCATTCTAAAAGACAAATTTTCTCTTTTTCTTTTTTTCCAACATTAGATTCTTGTAGAAAACAAATTTTTTTCAGCATTTCAAATGTGGAAAAAGATAATTACCTCTGCCAACAAAATTGGATAAGATTAACATTTATTTGTTCATCCCATAATATTTCCAAAAAGCTATCAATAAATTTCTGTTACATTTTGTGAACAGGAGAAACATAAATCAATGAACAAGTGATGAAATATGGAGGGCAGGCTCAAGGATTTTTTGATTTTATTAACATTGCAGGATAGGGCATTTTTTTTTTTTTTTCACTATTAAAAATTATAAATTATCAAAAAAGGTGGCTCTTAAAACTTGTGTAAAAAGCAAAAATAATTATCTCCCTTATCATTATTATAAGCTTTGACGTGACATATTTTGTGATTTAGAACATAATTTTTTTTTTTTAATCGATCGTAAAGCCACTAAGACACAAGGGGTTTACTGAATGTGTTAGAATTAGGAACAGAAACATTACTAACAAGCAAGAACAAAAAGAGTAATCAGGAGGACAGTAGATAGTGATTGACATTGCATTTAAATTTTTGAAGATCAAAGTTGGCTGGAAAACATGGAGCTGGAAGGGAGTTACATAGGCAAAAAGTATGAGAAAATAAACTGTTAGCATAGAATTTACAGTTACATCTAGCCAGCTCAACTGAAAATTGATGAGATTTTGACACCAATCTAGTACTGCAATTAAATTCAAAAAGTCCAGAGACCATAGCAAAGAGTTCATTCAAAGAATTGCCATGAAAGTATTTATAGAAAAGACACAGGGAAGCAAACTTATGGTGGTGGGAAAGTTTTTTAGCAGCAATGACATTGGCAGAAGTATGCTCTCTCACTCTTTCACTGAGTACTTTCTTGTCCAATATCAAGTAATTGAATATTTCATTTATTGTATGGCTTTTAACATCTGAATACTGAATACTAGTTGGCAGTATGCTGATGTGTTTGTGGTATTATCCTACTAGAAAACTTCACTTAATGTCTTCTAGGTGGCATGGTAATCAGTATAATAGCTGGCCACTCATATTTGCAGCTAGCCAATCCCTATTGTAGACACTCGCTCAGGCACATTTGTGTTTGCTCAATGCCCACAGAGCCCACCTGTGATCTATACTACAACTATGCTGAGCAGACCTTAGTTACAGTTTCTGGGAGAGAGTGCGTTATCTAGTGTGATCAACAATTTGAACAAGTCCAGCATGCTCAAGCCCTCAGCCATGATGACTCGTGGCTTCATGCTAGCACAGCTATCAACGGACCACAAGAGTTCTGTCTACCCAATTTCATTCACAAGGCTTGGGTCAAACTGTGTTTTAGTTTTTGGGAACTTTCCAAAAGTGCCGCACACCAAGATCAAACACAATCCAGTATTCAGGAAGTTGCCTTCCAGACAAATCGAGCATGGTGAGATTTGAACCCAGGTCTCATGGTCAGAAAGTGAACATTCTAACCATTTGGCCACTTGGTAATCAGTAGTATAACAGGAAAGTACATAAACTCTCTCTTTTTTGATCTCTCACCTACAAGATGTAGTAGTGATGTAAATTTACAACCCACCCTTCACCCCAAGCATTCTATCGACTAACCAATGAATACCCCACATTGATTTTCGGCTTTCAGTCTTGCTGGTGTGCACCAAAATCTGAGAAAGGGCCTACTGCTGATCAGAAGTTAATATGATAAAAGACAAAATGCTACCTTGAGAAATAAAAACACTGTTTCCCATATTATGAAATAGATGTTTTATCCAGGGCTTCACCTGCTTGCCTGGCTGAATAGATAGGAGATCCTTAGGACAACTTCTGCTATGTTGGTCTAACAGCTCAGCTCATCTTCCTACCAACTCCTCATCAATCTACTCATCCCAACATGATGGTTGGCAACACAAATGGATGAACCACATGACAGACCAGAGCTCTCCCTAATCCCATAGCATGACTGTTAATACAGACCAGCACCCAGATATACCTAATTTCTGATTTTGTTGACACTTGATCTCCAAAAAAAAACCCATCCACTCTTTTATTCCCTATTCCCCTTTGGATGCCACTTAGGAGACCAAACTTCAAAAGGAACTATCTGCTGGTACATCAAGCAAGGTAATACTACCTCCTCGCTTTCTATGTTGGTGTCTATATGTTGTGGAGTTATTTTCGCAGTGGAGGCTTGTATTTGTACTAAATCGGTCCTAAATAGTTCGACGTACAAAACGTTAGGAACTTGATATAATAGGTATTACACAGAGTAATCTTGTTTTGGTCGCTGACTACTTTCGTATTCGACTGTCGACTACTGTTGTCCAACATCGACTGACCCTCGTTTCTCTTACTACTCCTACTTATATTAGGTGGGAGAGTCTATTAACTATAGAATAGGTGTGTTTCACCATAACACTATATTATCACAGTGATAACAAGATTCATCCCTGCCAGGAGAAGATTTCTTTCCCTGGACAAGCCAACTACTTAATTTCAACCCAACTATGTGGAACACACACACACTACAGCTAAGCACATAAATGTTTTTCTTTCATTTTTTTCTGAGCTCTGTCTAGGTTCATCCAAGTATATTTTTCTCTCTCATTAAATTATCTTGTTTTATGTATAAATTTATATATAAAAACATGCATATGTGTTGATTTATTACACCAGATCTTATGCCCTCTCCCAGAAACTGCGACTAAGGGCTACGCTGTGTAGCTACAGTATAAACTACCTCACCATCAGCTAAAAACAAAGGAAACTAGAAAAGGATGGTTTCCTCTTCATCATCATCCCTTAATTACTTTGTCCACAATATATACAGTTATATATAATGTAGTTATGCTATATTTAGAGTGAAAATGCTCAATATCTGGGATAGAGTGTGTTTAAATATACAAGTGGACACTGAGATGAACACTAAGTAGTGACACTCTGTTTCATAATTGAACGCAATCTTTAGGACCATCATATATATATATATATATATATATATATATATATACTAGCCAAGGTACCTGGCATTGCCTGGGTGTACATGGCTGCCAATGTATTACCACACTCCCTGTATACCTGCACCCTCCCCACTATCTAGAAATGTCTGCCTGCATCCCCGCTTGCATGCATTATCTGTTGTTGTACAAAGCTACTTCTCTCCTCATCTTTTTTATGGTATGTCCCTTCAACCTAGTCATAATTGGTAACCATTACAAAGTGGTAGCCCATCCTGGTATGATGATAAACTACATCCGCATCCTGGGTAAAATGATAAACTATGTCCAACAGCAAGGCCTCTGATCAGGAGATTTTGAGGAGTTTGGAACCACCTTTTAATTGCTGGTGTTTCCCGGTCCACCCTGACCTGGGGTGGTAGCAACTGTTAGGATCCCAGCTATGGGCAAATAGTTAACCCCCGAACTGGGGTCAAAACACTATGAAAGTGTAAAAATAGGTTTTAATACCAGAAATATTTTTTTTTTAAATTATTACCAGCAACACAGTTTTTTAAATAATAAAAAATAAATATTACCAGCAATAAAAATTTTGTCAGCATCAAATAACCCACTATGGTTGATATGCCATAAAACAAACCAAACCAAACCAGAAGCCAAAGTGGTAACACTCCTCCCATTATAAGTCTTGTGTTGAAAATACACTAAATGAGGTAGTCTTGAGGTCTTCTTGCAACTTACAGAAGTTGATATGTAGTCATTTATTTTAGTGCAATGTCTTTTATACAGAGATGGTAATTGGGGAGAGACAAATATATGTGTTTGGTTTGGAGTGGCTGCAAAGAAAGACGTCAAAATGCTGTCTGTTGATGGGATAGATATATATCTTTGATTAAGAGAGATAAATATTGATATTTGATTTTCCATACTATTATCCACTTTGATCATAAATTTATACTTCTAATATAATGAGGATATAATTTCCTACAACAGAGGGTGAAATGTACAGTAAAGGAGTCAGAATAATTTATCCAAAACATGCATTGTAAAATATATATCTTATAGACGAGTAAATATGGTGGAAAATTTTTTTAAATCTTTTTTTTTTTTAAATATTTTTAAACTAATATCTTCTTTTTTTTCTCATATATCTAAACTATAATTACAAAGTATAATTTTGGAAAAGGAAAACTTCACTGAAATATTTCAGAAAATTTCCAAGTTTTCATCTGAAATCAAGAAAATACAAACTTTAAGCAGACAGTCACAGACTATAGGAAAAAAGTATCACTTTAAACTTGTAGGAATCCTTCTACTCGGTTTTTTGTTGAATATTAAAATTCGGAGTGTCGGTATTCAATACATTAATAAAATATCGTTACAGGGTCACTCGTAATTTGGCCATCTAAAATAATCAAACGCTTTTCATTGAAGGAATAAAATTCAGTAGAAAAGACGACGTAGTTTCAACAAATAAACATTGATTTAATATAACAATAGGAATACAAAAAGTTGGAAAGTAATGTCTTTTGTTTGGGTTGATAAAGTTCTGAAATAAAATATAAACTGTCTTTGTGTACGTGTGTGAGAAACAATAAAATGTTGTGATATGTGTGTTTGTATGAAAGAGTCAACGTGTGTGCGTGATACATAGTAAAAACTGATACGAGAGATACGAATTGTTTCTTACTGTTAGCAGTGTTGCCGTGATCTGGAGTTTGTCAATGCTGTCGTTTTTGACATGAAGTCATGAAGGTCATCGGCGAGAGGTGTCTGTAGCTTGCTGGCAGCCGCGTGTATATTGTGTTGGGAACGGATTTCATATGTTTTTATACACTTTTTCCGAACAATATCGGCTCCAGAATTAAATTATTTATTTATTTCTAATTGGCCCTAAGAAGTCACGTGGTATGTCTTCTACTACGTCCGTACAATATTTGGTTGGTATCTACCTAAAAATAATGATGACTAATACAACAAACATTCTGATTTGTAATCTATGATTTTATTGGTGTGTTTTAAGATGTAAGTGTTTTCTTGAGTGTGATTGGTTTATAAATATTGTAGTTGATATTTTAGTGGACATGACGAACTGAATACCAGGAGAATATGGACTAAAGTTATTTTGTTGTATATTGATCCTTGTCATTGAACATCAAATACTGTATTTTGAAGCATATAAGATGCACTTTTCAAAACTTAAATCTGAAAATCACCCTGTGCAGTGATGTAGCTAGATGAAGGAGGAGGGGGCAGTCCACTCTGGGGTGACACTTTTGTGTCTGCTGTAAGCATTAAGCCTGTATAGGCTTTATTGAAATAAAAGTGATTTTAATGTCCGGACAGTACTCACAGTTGAAGGATCTTTTTGATTTTGAGTAACTTAAACTATGGCATATATATTGGTTTAACTACTGTCTATAGAGCAACTATTAACAGATGAAATAGTTCCTGACAATGTCATTGAAGAATTTGCTAACAAAAATGCAAGAAAAATTATTTTGTAAAAAGTTGTAATTTTCATTTTAGAAATAAAGATGGTCCTAATTTTTTATACTCTTTTCCTTATATATCACTTTTGCTCTTTAACCATTACTGATAAAGTTTAACTATGTTTAACATGTATTTAAAGCATACTATATTTATGTATATGAAATTAATATTATAATGGTACACAAACTAGTTTTATAATTTTAAGAGTGAGTCACTGTGCAATATATATTTTTTGTGGGGGCTGGGAGGGGTGGTAAACTCAAGGCTTCTCTCAGCAGTGGCACACACTCCAGCTGTGCCACTGACCATGTGTCCTTCATAATGAGAGTCATGTTGAAGGCTAAAGTTGAGATCTATAAATCTCCCTTATCCAGAGCTATGGCAGGCCCATGAAAATTTCTCTCTCTATTGTTTCAAAATATTTCATGCTAAATTTAAAATGTCCCTTGCTTTTTCATGAATAAAAAATATGTTTGATTGACTGAATTGTTTTTTTTTATGGCTTAGCAACGACGTTTTAAGGTTATTTAAATCTGAAAAATATTTTTGGATTGTAAGAATTTTTTTTGAGATAATAATCATTATCTGATACAAGTCTTGCTAATTAACCCATAGCTGGAAGGAGAAGAAGTGGATCCATGCCTTTTGCAAGGGTATATGCATGTAACTGAATATAACGAATATGTCTGGAATTTGAACTTGGCTCTCTAATTTATTATTCTGAATGGTTATCCATTACATCAGTCATATATCCAAACTTACAGCACCTGGTATTCCCAAGTGGTCACCCATCTAGGTACTGACCAGGTTCAACATTGCTTAACTTCAGTGATCAGATGAGAACCTGTGTTTCAACCTGATATGGCTGTAAGTATATGTACTTTGTTTACCTGCTGTTCAGTAGTTAGTAAACAAAATCATCATCCAAAAGTCATAAATTTATTGCTCATGTAGTGGATAATTAAACTATAAAGGACAAAGACTAAATAAAAATAAAATAGTTTTGTCATTTGTAAAAGAGTCTTTCAAAGTACTATGGATATGTAGGTAAATAGCAGCTCAGAAGTGGAAATTGGTGAGCCAAATTCAATTTCAGGTTTGTTACATTCACTTATATGCACATACCCTTGAGAAAGGTGTGAATCTATCTCCTCACCCAAATATGGGTTAAATAGTAGAAGTTGTATTTGTAAAAATCATTGTTATTCTAAAAAAAATTATTAATGGAATATTCACTAGCAAAAAAGAAAAAAATTATTCATACAATCCAAACTGTTTCAACTTTAAATAAGCCAAAAAAGGCTCATGAGACTCATGTTGAAGGCTAAGCTTGAGATTTATAAAACTCCCTTATCCAGAGCTATGGCAGGCCCATGAAAATTAAATAAAAAATGAAAAAGTTCATCGCACCTTCAAGGAGGTGTTACTGCCCATGTTAAGAATCACTGATTTAAAGGATATACAAACTGACACAAAGTAAGTTGGTTTAGCAGAGAATGTTGTATTAAACAGCTCACCACAGGTCTCTTGTATATTTGAGAACTGACATCAAAGCATCTTTGATTCTTTGTGCCAACAGACTTCTGCTGGATATGTTTTACCTTTTGTCAAACTGATCTCAGTCAGTATAAAGAAATTGTTGGTTTTTGTTTGTTTTGTTTTATGGCATATCAATCTTTTCCAGATTATTTAATGCCATATTCTGTAGTCTCGATATATAGACACAGTTCCAGATTCATAAAAGTCAAAAAGTAGACACAGGTATGGTTTGCATGGGAGTCAAAAAGGATAGACACAAGTTAGTGTGGTATGAGAGTTAAAAAGGTAGACAAAAGGTAGATTTGCACAAGAGAGTCAAAAAGGTAGACACATGGCCAGTTTGCACAAGAATCAAAATGAGAGACATGGGTTAGGTTTGCACAAAAATAAAGAAAAGGTGAAAACAGGTTTACTTTGCATGAGATTCAGAAAGGTAGGTTTGGTTTACACAAGAGTTTAAAAAGTAGACACATACAAAGTGCAATGGATAAATTGTCGTCTAAATTACACAAAAATGAAAATAACACTGAAATCTCATTTTAACAGATATATTTACCAAAATTACACAAAAATATCTTGAATTACTAAATAGTACATTTATTTAATAAAATTGCCATTGGCTTCAACCACAGCATCCAGACGACTTTGGAATTTCCTGCAACTCTTCTGGATGGTCTCTTTGTTTTAAGTTGGTGAATGTTGCCATAATCATTGCCTTCAGTTCATCTTTGGTGTAACAAGCAGTTTTGTTGGTCTCTTGCTCAGTTGCACCCTACACATAATAATCAAAGGGGTTGCAATCTAGGGAGTTAGGTGGCCAGATTTAAGGGGTGACATGGTTACAGAAATTGTCTGACAGCCATGACTGGGTTCTCCTGCATGGTGCAGAGTCCTGTTGCCAGACAGAGGGTCTTCCAGCAGCAACCTTCTTGACTGAGGGTAGCACTACCTTCTCAAGGTACTTGATGTAGGCTTCAGTGTTGAGTCTGAGGCTCTGTGGGAAGATGAATGGAAGCATTACTAGTGATCACTCCAAACACCTTCATAATCACCATTAGACTCATTCAACTCTTTCTGAATCCTCTGCACTCTCCTCAACTTGACACCCAAACACTCTGAAGTACAGCATGCCATTTCCAAATTTCTGGTGGAGTGAATTGTGTCATGGTGCTCTTTTTCTCACACATGGTGCCCAACTGACTGTATTATAGTGAACAGTCAACAAAATTAAAAACAATGCGCATGCATGAAATTAAAAATATAAAATGGTGACAATTTATCCATTGTACCCTGTATTAGGTTTGCATGAGAGTCAAAAACGTGGACAAAGGTCACGTTTGTTCCAAAGGTAGACTGTTATATGCAATCAAATAGAGGTGGTTTCTACATTAATTTACTAGAATCAGATTTTTGAACAGGTAAAAATCAAATACATCTCTATATTTCTGAGATGAGGTATTTTAAGTATTTACACTATCTACACCATTTGGACTGTTGTCCTCATCTTTATTACCATATTCATGACATTTTAGCTATTATATGTTCCAGCCTTCTTCAGATTATATACATTAGAATTTCAGACTAAATCCTTTATTTAGTCCACAGGCTGAGATTGTTCTAATTCCACGTGACATGCCTTTTTTTTGATATCTCAGTTTCAGTTATCTCCCTTTAGTAACTCAACTCTCCAAGTTTTTGTTCTCTTCTGCTGTGGCCAGGGATTGAACTCACAACTCTTTGGATCAAGTCACTCTTTATCATACTCAACCAACACTTCTATTTACTGAGCCAAGTGTTCAGTTCGAAATTTCAACGTATATCACCTGTAGAAGGCCGGAGCTTACAATGGCTGAAATCTCATGAATATGGCAATAAAGTCTGAATGATGTAAATAGTTTAAAAATCAAATACCTTATAAAGAATTCAAAACTATTTATTTTGAGACTTTCTAAATTCTTTTTTTTTAGACAAACACCCTTTAAATAATGAGGTAATACTGATCAATAAAATCAATTATTGAACTGAAACAGATGGTATGAACTAAATCATTTTTTTTTCATCAATTAGCAATGATTTTATTAAATCTATATCTATACCAAATTGACTCCTGTCTAAAATGATACAAATCAGTGGATGCCTTCACTAGCATAGTTGTTTACAAACTTCCCTTACCAACTCATTCACTAATGCAATGATGTCACTCTTCATTGACTGTCCCATTATTGTGGCCTTGAACCAGTATAAATTAACCTTATGTAATATCAAGCATAACTCATGTTTGTAATAGTTGCATATTTCCATCCAGTAGTCAGAATTAAAATCTAGATAAAAAATTAAAATGGTTGAGTTTCAAAGCAGGTAAGTTTATTTCATTTTGAAAGACTGATACAACATAATCTTCTGACCATATACCATATAGTGTGTGAAAGCATGTGTGATACTTTGTCTTTGTCAGGGGAGGTAACATAGTTTCAGTGGCTAAGGCAGTACTGCCACCAGCAGCTTTTGCCACTGGACAGGGCACTTTTTTTGTGTAGACGTGTCAGTCTCTTGTGATTTTTTTACAAATGCAAGTCAGATTTTCAACATTGTGTTAAAAGTGTTTGCTTTTGATTGTTAACCAATACACAATGCACTCATAGCGACCATTACTAATGATGTAGAATGGAAGGTAAACAGATGTGTTTCATGTCGAAAGTAGCATTGTGTTGCGAGTATTGTTTTAACTTTGTTTATTTTGGATCTTGACTAGATCCAACTCAATGGATGTTGAGCTTTGGTCTGGAGATGATAGGAAGCACACTTCAGGCTTTGACCTTCAAAAGGAAGGAAACGATTGACCATCCAAGTAATCCACGGCCTCAATAGGTAGCATATGACATGTCTACCCTTTTTCCACAAAGTTGGATTACAGTGATTCGTAGCAGTTTTCCTTTTGTTCTTTTGCCCCCTCCCTGTTTTCCTCTCATGGAACTGTTAACTCAACTAGGGGGACACACTTCTTTAAATCAAACCACACTACAATGTCAGGGTGTGTGTCTGTCTGAATGATGTGTACCAGAAATTCCACACAGGGCATTCACTTTCCTTGTGAAAAATGGATCTTATGTTCTCTGGCAATTAAAAACTGTTTGTTGGCTGCTTCACTCTGTGTACAAAGTCCACAACCACTTCCAGCACTTTTGAAGCCACAAGTACATCTGCAGTGACTGTGGGGATGCAGAGGGCACATTATGTAAAGTACCTCAACGACATCAAAAATATTTTCCCCTTTACATTCCAGAGGGAGGTGGGGCAGAAATTTACAATGCTTTTTACATTCTTTTCCTTAAGTATCCAAATGTCATTCTTCAGGCACCATTCTTGTGATATAATACCTTGTTTTCATGCATACTGCAGGTGAATGGTGAGTTGCTTGAGGATGTTTGGACAATTCTTATACAACTTGTAGGATATTCCATTTATTCCAGGTACACTACCAGTATGAGATTTGCAGACAAATTCCTGAATTTCCCTTAGATTTATTCCACTGCCATTAAACATGACCTCTGGATCTTGGGTCCTAGGAAGGTCATTCATAGAAGGGATTGAAGCAGCTTTCCAAGCATTAGAATACATCATTCTCAGGTGGTTTTTGACTTCCTTGTGCAGTACATCAAGTTTGCCACTGTTACTTTTGGTGAACAGCTTTTTAGCAAAAGTGTAAAAATTATTATAAAATGATCTCCAAGACTGTTGCTTTTTCTTCCAAAATTTTCTTTGGTTCTCAGCTCTAGAGATCACTAAGATCCTTTCTTTAGTATCATTAAGCTGGTCCTTAAGGTTTGCCCTCTCATAAATTGGAGCTTCATTGAGTCAGCAATTCACAACTCTCTGCTCTGTTCTTAACTCACCTTTCTGAATCTATCGTCTATTTGGTTGATTGTCTTATATCTTCTCTTGTAGTTACCCTACTGAACCACTTTAGACAAACTTCATGCACAACTCTGCAGAAACATCTGGCCTGCTGGCTAATGCAGCCCTTTAGATGATTGGTAAGTATTAATGAGAGCTCCTAATCGAGATTCGACCAAGTAACTCTCTGATTATATATACCTTTCAATGATCCCTATCAGATATACACAAAAAGGTTTATCCCTTGTTCCCTGTTTAGAATTGGGTTTCCAGTTTCTTCTAAAGTCTTTTCCTTCTCTTTCACTGACAGGGAGAGAGAGAAGGAGAGAGAGAGAGAAGACAAACCTCAAGCACAACTATGCAGAAATATCAGACATGCTGGCTAATGCGGCCCTTTAGATGGTTGGTAAGTATTAATGAGAGTTCCTGATCGAGATTCGACCAAGTGGCTCTCTGATTGCCTTGGACCACTGGATTTTTGGCTCGCTTGGAATTTCTCCAGGGTGTTGATGCTCAGAAATGGGATCCTGAACATTATAGGCATATTCTGGATTCATAATCCCATCATTTGATTGACATTCTCTAATAGGCAGCATTACCTGCATCAGTGTGCCTTATGGATACCTAAACCTTGCAAACTCTCAAATTTCCTGCAATCATATGTAGCCAGTTACAAGTCTATGTCATTATCATTTGGATCAGTCTGATGGGTGATGTATTCTCCCTCCATACTACAGTCACCCAGAAGGTATTTTTTGTTTGTTGTGCTAGTCACATTTTCTTTAGATTTCTTGTACTATACAAACATAAACTTAGTACATAGTAGCAGTATAACTTGTCTTCGATCAGGTGTTGCATTACTGGGAATTTTTGCCTTTCAGTTGGAGGAGTTTAAATTTAAAGTCAGTCCACCCCAAAATCAATATTAGTAACAACAATTGGGTGCAACTGAGGCACATCCCCAAATGTGTGTGTGTGTGTGTGTGGGGGGGGTTAACAATTTGAATGGGGGTAGCCCTTAAAAGGGCCGTTTTTGTGTTCTCAATCTTGCAAGGAAGGAACCTCTTTCATGGACTGTTATAATATACGATAATTTTTGTTTATAGCATAATTTTTTTTTTATAATTCTAATAATCTTAGATTTCAGTGCTCTAAATTAATTATACATAGTCTTTTTTACAGACATTAAAATTTTTACCTTTGATTTTTGCGCAAAGTGTAAAAAATCAGTTTTTTCAATTTTCACTTTCTAGTTTGTAATTTTTTCCAGAGAATTTGGACTCAACACAGGCACTGAAGAATTATCTCTCAAACAAAAAAAATTTCATCAAAATCTGATGAAAACTGTGGAAATGCATAAACAACATTTGATCACACACACATACACACACACACACACACATTGAAAATTATAGATATAGATTGAAAATGAGAGAAATCAGTAATAAACCTGATTTGAGAATTGAAAAGTTGGCTATTTGTATTTAATGTTGTATTTATGAAGTTTGTCATCAGCTGATTGGACAAAACATCAAGATGCATATATGTCTGTTTAGTCAGTATTACTTTCTCTAATTCCTGATCAAGGAAAACACCTTTCTTATTTATACAGTGTGACCCGGATATAAGAGAGATTTTCTCTGGTCCCAAAGTGTTCCCATACTTACCTAAACAAAATAGACCAAACCCGGATATAAGAGACTTCTTCTCCGGTCCCGACAACTCTCTTATATCCGGGTTACACTGTATTCATATACTCAGTGGAAACAAGCAAGCAATAACAGAGCAGTACTAAATAGAATAAGAACTAGACAATATCTCTAGACATGAGCAGCGAGAACTATCTATCTCCATAGATTAAATAAAGGGTTAAGTTCAGAATTCACTGTAGGTTACCCAGGTTGATATATACTTGATGAAGGCCAGAGGGCACAATGGCCAAAACGTGATAAAAGCAACAAAAATGAGGGCAATAGTTTGAATATAGTGTAAATAATAACTCATCCTAGAAATTTAGACAAAAACCTTTCTTATTTTCAATATATTTCTATCATAAAATCATTAGCAGTGCCTTTACATTTTCAGTCAGTATATACACAC